CACACGACCCACAGGCTGTGCTATCTAAGCTTGATGTAGTGGTGCAGACACCTGTACAATCACCGCAATAGGTAGCCGCCTGGCAGGCGCAGACACCACGCAACGCGCGCGAAGTTAAGTCTCAAATTAGTCTCATTTAAGAGAGCGTGAGAAAACGCTGTAGGTCTTCTACTAATTTACTTACTAAGTAGATCGCGTAGCTAAGTAAGGGGGCCTAGCAAATAGCACATAAAATAACGCTTATAATAGAGGAAATGGGTACGCTTTAAGCGGCTCTTGACAAGTTAAATAAGCGTAAAAGCCGCAAGCGGCGATACGTACGGACAGAAGAGACTCTTACTATAGGCGAAGTACAAGAAGTATTAGCTAAACAGGCGGGTAGCAGTCGTGGTGATGGTGAGAGTGCGTCGAAGAGGGTGCGAGGAGAGCGGCGGTGCGGGCGTTGCAAGCAGACTAGACACAACGCTCGTACCTGCGTAGTTAAGATAGATAGTGCAAGTAATAGTAGCGATTCTAACAATTAATTTAGTGTATTGCAATAGTTTATTAACTGTGATAAAAAACTGTAATAACGTGTTGATGTAGATGTAGTGGTGGGGCGTTAGCGACTCGCTTGGGTTAGCGACTCACTTGTGAACCACGTTATATTAAGTAGCTAAAGAATATGTGATAAGTAAGAGGGTATATAGGGCGTAAGGATCTTATATATAAGGTAGTATTCTTTAAAATCCTTATTAAGGTAGCTTTTATGCCTATCTAAGATTAGCAGCCTATATAACCCCTTCTAACGCGTCTTTATATGCGCGTTATGTAACGGGTCGAGTCCTATTAGACTGCGCACGCAACTACAACGCGCCCACCGCGCCAAAAAGGCTGGCACAAGATATCAGAGCTGCTGATATCGTTGCGTAGTTGATACATAAGATAGCCACCGCTATCTGTACTGTAGCGGGCTACCTAGCCCGTTACACGTTAGAGTGCTTTAACTACTTAAGACTAAGCTAATTATTAGTCTAGCTATTCTCTAAGACTAGAATTTTCTAATTATATAAGATATTTTGCTCTTTATACTATATAGAGATATAGACGCGTCCTTTATAGATAATAAATAGTAGAATAGCATACCTAGTAGCATAGATGCCTTAGATAAGTATTACCTACTCTTAGTCCTTTAGCTAAACAAGATTTAGTCTTATATAACGTTCTAAACTAGTAATAACCTTTATTAAGCTAATAACGCTTATTTAGAAGCTAGTCTTATTAAAGTTGTAGCTGTTATCTAAATAGACTTTAAACTAGTTAATTATATCTCG